TGGTCGTGGTGGTGTGTGTGATGGTGGTGGTGGCAGTGATGGTGGTGGTGGCAGTGATGGTTGGTGGTCGTGGTGTGGTGTGTGATGGTTGGTGGTGTGGTGTGTGACGGTGGTGGTTGGTGGTGTGTGTGATGGTGGTGGTCGTGGTGGTGTGTGTGATGGTGGTGGTGGTGTGTGATGATGGTTGGTGGTGTGTGTGACAGCGGTAGTAGTGTGTGTGACGGTGGTAGTGGGGTGTGTGACGGTGGTAGTGGTGTGTGTGATGGTGGTGGTTGGTGTGTGTGACGGTGGTGGTTGGTGTGTGTGTGATGGTGGTGGTGGTCGTGGTGGTGTGTGTGATGGTGGTGGTGGCAGTGATGGTGGTGGTCGTGGTGGTGATGGTTGGTGGTGTGTGTGACGGTGGTGGTTGGTAGTGTGTGTGATGGTGGTGGTTGGTAGTGTGTGTGATGGTGGTGGTTGGTGTGTGTGTGTGATGGTGGTGGTTGGTAGTGTGTGTGTGATGGTGGTGGTTGGTAGTGTGTGTGATGGTGGTGGTTGGTGTGTGTGTGTGATGGTGGTGATGGTGGTTGGTGGTGTGTGTGACAGTGGTGGTTGGTGTGTGTGTGATGGTGGTGATGGTGGTGGTTGATGGTGTGTGTGATGGTGGTGGTTGGTAGTGTGTGTGTGATGGTGGTTGGTGGTGTGTGTGACAGTGGTGGTTGGTAGTGTGTGTGACGGTGGTGATGGTGGTGGTTGATGGTGTGTGTGATGGTGGTGGTTGGTGGTGTGTGTGATGGTGGTGGTTGGTGTGTGTGTGTGATGGTGGTGGTTGGTAGTGTGTGTGACGGTGGTGGTGGTGGTGATGGTGGTGGTCGTGGTGGTGTGTATGATGGTGGTGGTGGCAGTGATGGTGGTGGTGGTGATGGTGATGGTGGTGTGTGTGACGGTGGTGGTGGGGATGGTGGTGGTCGTGGTGGTGTGTATGATGGTGGTGGTGTGTGTGACGGTGGTGGTGGTGGTGTGTGTGAAGGTGGTGGTGTGTGTGACGGTGGTGGTGTGTGTGACAGTGGTGGTGTTCATGGTGTGTGATGGTGGTAGTGGTGTGTGTGAAGGTGGTGGTGGTGTGGTGTGTGTGACGGTGGTGGTGGTGTGTGTGTGACGGGTGGTGGTGGTGGTGTGTGTGACGGTGGTGGTGGTGTGTGTGAAGGTGGTGGTGTGTGTGACGGTGGTGGTGTGTGTGACGGTGGTGGTGGTGTGTGTGACGGTGGTGGTGATGGTGTGTGACGGTGGTGGTGGTAGTGGTGGTGTGTGTGATGGTGATGGTGGTGACGGTGGTGATGGTGGTGACGGTGGTGATGGTGGTGACAGTGGTAGTGATGGTGGTGGTGATGATGGTGACGGTGGTGATGGTGGTGACAGTGGTAGTGATGGTAGCGATGGTGGTGGTGACAGTGGTAGTGATGGTAGCGATGGTGGTGGAGATGGTGGTGACAGTGGTAGTGATGGTAGCGATGGTGGTGGTGGTTGTGATGGTTGTGGTGGTGATGGTGGTGACGGTGGTGATGGTGGTGACAGTGGTAGTGATGGTAGCAATGGTGGTGGTGACAGTGGTAGTGATGGTAGCGATGGTGGTGGAGATGGTGGTGACAGTGGTAGTGATGGTAGCGATGGTGGTGGTGACGGTGGAGATGGTGGTGACAGTGGTAGTGATGGTAGCGATGGTGGTGGTGGTTGTGATGGTTGTGGTAGCGGTTGTGGTGGTTATGGTGGAAGTGGTTGTGGTGGCGGCTGTGGTAGTGGTTGCGATGGTGGTAGCGGTTGTGGTAGTGGTAGCGGTTGTGGTGGTGATTGTGGTGGTGGTTGTGGTGGCGGCTGTGGTACTGGTTGCGATGGTGGTAGCGGTTGTGGTAGAGGTTGTGGTAGCGGCTGCGATGGTGGTAGCGGTTGTGGCGGTGGTGGTTGTGGTGGTGGTTGTGGTGGTGGTTGCGATGGCGGTGGTGGTTGTGGTGGTAGTTGTGGCGGTGGTGGTTGTGGTGGTTTGTGGTGGTGGTGGTTGTGGTGGTTGTGGTGGTGGTGCTTGTGGCGGTGGTGGTTGTGGTGGTTGTGGTTGTGGTGGTTGTGGTGGTTGTGGTGGTTGTGGTGGTGGTTGTGGCGGTGGTGGTGGTTGTGGCGGTGGTGGTGGTTGTGGTGGTGGTTGTGGTGGTTGTGGCGGTGGTGGTTGTGGTGGTTGTGGTGGTGGTTGTGGTGGTTGTGGCGGTGGTGGTGGTTGTGGTGGTGGTGGTGGTTGTGGTGGTGGTTGTGGCGGTGGTGGTTGTGGCGGTGGTGGTGGTTGTGGTGGTGCTGCTGACCGGGCCGTGGGTCTGGCGCGGTGCTCAGTAGGTCTCGCAGCTGAGCGTCCCGCACGCCGTGAGTCCAGCTGAGGTCGAGAGAGCGCAGGGCACAGCGAGTACCCACCAGGGCAGCCGTGCTCGCCCATGACGAGCAAGGCATGCTGAGCACCTGCAGGCCTGCACCACCACCACCACCACAACCACCACAACCACAATAGCTGTCAACACCACCACCACCACAACCACCACCACAACCACAACAGCTGTCAACACCACCACCACCACCACCGTCATCATCACACGGCATGCTGAGCACCTGCAGGCCTGCACCACCACCACCACAACCACCCTTGTCAACACCACCACAACTGTTGTCAATACCACCACCACCACAACCACCACCGTCATCATCACACGGCATGTTGAGCACCTGCAGGCCTGCACCACCACCACCACAACCACAACAGCTGTCAACACCACCACCACCACCACTACAACCACCACCACAACCACCGTCATCATCACACGGCATGCTGAGCACCTGCAGGTCTGCACCACCACCACCACCACCACCACAACCACAACAGTTGTCAACACCACCACAACCACCACCACCACCACAACCACCACCACAACCACCGTCATCATCACACGGCATGCTGAGCACCTGCAGGTCTGCACCACCACCACCACCACCACAACCACAACAGTTGTCAACACCACCACAACCACCACCACCACCACAACCACCACCACAACCACCGTCATCATCACACGGCATGCTGAGCACCTGCAGGCCTGCACCACCACCACCACCACAACAACCACCCTTGTCAACACCACCACCACCACAACCACCACCATCACCACCCTTGTCAACACCACAACCACCACCACCACCACAACCACCGTCATCATCACACGGCATGCTGAGCACCTGCAGGCCTGCACCACCACCACCACCACCACAACAACCACCCTTGTCAACACCACCACAACCACCACAACCACCACCACAACCACCACCACCACCACCACCGTCATCATCACACGGCATGCTGAGCACCTGCAGGCCTGCACCACCACCACCACCACAACCACCGTTGTCACCAACAACACCACCACCACAACCACTGTCATCATCATTGTCACCACCACCATCATCACCATCATCACCACCACCATCATCATCATCACCACCACCACCATCATCATCACCACCACCATCACCGCCAGCAGAGTCAACAGAGAGTGAGGGAGAGTTAAGGAAAGTGAGGGAGAGAGGGGGAGAGTGAAGGGGGGAGTAAGAGAGAGTGAGAGAGTCAGTAAGAGAGAGTGAGAGTGAGTAAGAGTGAGAGTGAGTGAGTGAGAGAGTGAGTGAGTGTGAGTGTATGAGTGAGTGAGAGTGAGTGAGTGAGAGTGAGTGAGTGAGTGAGAGTGAGTGAGTGAGAGTGAGTGAGTGAGTGTGAGTGAGAGTGAGTGAGTGAGAGTGAGTGAGTGAGAGTGAGAGAGTGAGAGTGAGTGAGAGAGTGAGTAAGAGTGAGTGAGAGAGTTAGAGTAAGAGAGTTAGAGTAAGAGAGTGAGTGATAGAGTGAGAGTGTGAGTAAGAGTGAGTGAGTGTGTGAGTGAGAGAGTGAGTGAGTAAGAGTGAGTGAGAGAGTGAGTAAGAGTGAGTGTGTGAGTGAGAGAGTGAGTGAGTAAGAGTGAGTGAGAGAGTGAGTAAGAGTGAGTGAGTGTGAGTGAGTGAGTGTATGAGTGAGTGAGAGTGTGTGTGAGTGAGTGTGAGTGTATGAGTGAGTGAGAGAGTGAGTAAGAGTGAGTGAGAGTGAGTGAGAGGGTGAGAGAGTGTGTATGAGTGAGTGAGTGTATGAGTGAGTGAGAGAGTGAGTGAGTGTATGAGTGAGTGAGAGAGTGAGTGAGTGTATGAGTGAGTGAGAGAGTGAGTAAGAGAGAGTGAGAGCGTGAGTGAGAGTGAGTGAGTGTATGAGTGAGTGAGTGAGAGAGTGAGTAAGAGTGAGTGAGAGAGGGTAAGAGAGTGAGTAAGACAGTGAGTGAGTAAGAGTGAGTGAGTGCGAGTGTATGAGTGAGTGAGTGTATGAGTGAGTGAGAGAGTGAGTAAGAGTGAGTGAGAGTGAGTGAGAGAGTGTGAGTGAGTGAGAGAGTGAGTAAGGGTGAGTAAGAGTGAGAGAGTGTATGAGTGAGTAAGTGTATGAGTGAGTGAGAGAGTGAGTGTATGAGTGAGTGTATGAGTGAGTGAGTGAGTGTATGAGTGTATGAGTGAGAGAGTGAGTAAGAGTGAGTGAGAGAGTGTATGAGTGTATGAGAGAGAGTAAGAGTGAGTGAGAGTGAGTAAGAGAGTGAGTGAGTGTATGAGTGAGTGAGTGAGTGAATGAATGAGTGAGTGTATGAGTGAGTGAGTGTATGAGTGAGTGAGAGAGTGAGTAAGAGAGTGTATGAGTGAGTGAGTGTATGAGTGTATGAGAGAGAGAGTAAGAGTGAGTGAGAGAGTGAGTAAGAGAGTGAGTGAGTGAGTGTATGAGTGAGTGAGTGAGTGAATGAGTGAGTGAGTGTATGAGTGAGTGAGTGTATGAGTGAGTGAGTGAGTGTATGAGTGAGTGAGTGTATGAGTGAGTGAGTGTATGAGTGTATGAGTGAGAGAGTAAGAGTGAGTGAGTGAGAGAGTGAGTAAGAGAGTGAGTGAGTGAGTGTATGAGTGAGTGAGTGAATGAGTGAGTGAGTGTATGAGTGAGTGAGTGTATGAGTGAGTGAGTGAGAGAGTGAGTAAGAGAGTGTATGAGTGAGTGTAAGAGTGAGTGAGTGTGAGTGTATGAGTGAGAGAGTGAGTGAGTGAGTTTATGAGTGAGTGAGAGAGTAAGAGAGTGAGAGTGTGAGCGAGTGAAGGCGAGGGACCATTACCGGGCAGCCTGGCCGTAAGCCAGCCCAGCTGTGCGAACGAGAGGGGGCAACGCGAGATGTCGAGCGAGAGCGGCTGCCTCCGCACGACTCCACGGAGCACGACGCCGGACGCCGGGGACAGCGGCGGCGGTGCCGGTGAGGACGTCGCCGGTGAGGACGCCGACGGTGCCGTCACCGCCGCCGGCCGTCGGTGTGACAGGTCCACGTGGGCCCAGAGACGGCGGTCGATACACCTGCAGATAGACACACACAGAGATAGACACACAGATAGACACAGAGAGACACATAGACACACACAGATAGACACACACACAGATAGACACACACACAGATAGATAGACACACAGATAGACGCAGATAGACACACACAGAGAGACACATAGACACACACAGATAGACACACACACAGATAGATAGACACACAGATAGACACACAGATAGACACAGATAGACACACACAGATAGACACACACACAGATAGACACACACAGATAGATAGACACACAGTTAGATAGACACACACAGATAGACACACAGATAGAGACACACAGATAGATAGACACACACAGATAGACACACACACAGATAGAGACACACACAGATAGATAGACACACACAAATAGACAGACACAGATAGATAGACACACAGAGACACACACAGATAGACAGACACAGATAGATAGACACACACAGATAGATAGACACACAGATAGATAGACACACACAGATAGATAGACACACACAGAGACACACACAGATAGACAGACACAGATAGACACACACAGATAGATAGACACACACAGATAGATAGACACACAGATAGATAGACACACACAGATAGATAGACACACACAGAGACACACACACAGATAGATAGACACACAGATAGACACACAGATAGACACACACAGAGACACAGACACACAGATAGACACACACAGATAGACACACACAGATAGATAGACACACAGATAGACACACACAGATAGATAGACACACAGATAGACACACACAGATAGATAGACACACAGATAGACACAGATAGACACACACAGAGACACACACACAGATAGACAGACACATAGACACACACAGATAGACACACACACACACAGATAGACACACACACATAGACACACACACAGATAGACATACACAGATAGACACACAGATAGACACACAGATAGACACTAACACAGATAGACACACACACAGATAGACACACACAGATAGACACACACACAGATAGAAACACACACAGATAGAAACACACACAGATAGACACACACAGATAGACACACACAGATAGACAGACACAGATAGACACACACAGATAGACAGACACACACAGATAGACAGACACACACAGATAGACAGACACGCACAGATAGACACACAGATAGACAGAAACACAGAGACAACTGTCTCTCTCCCCCAGTGTGTGTGTGCGTCTGTGTGTCTGTGTGTGTCTGTGTGTGTGCGTCTGTGTGTGTGCGTCTGTGTGTGTCTGTGTGTGTGTGTGCATGTCTGTGTGTGTGTCTATCTGTGTGTGCCTGTGTGTGTGTGTCTGTGTGTGTCTGTGCGTGTCTGTGTGTGTGTCTATCTGTGTGTGTCTGCATCGGTTGCGTAACGCTGTGTGGAAGCTACCTGGTCTGTCGCTCCGCACTAAGCTTCAGGTCTTCTCGGCCACGGTCATTCCCTCCCTTCTCTACGCTTGCGAAATGTGGACCCCCCTAATGGAACATCTTCGCCGGTTAGAAACATTTAGGCTGGCCTACCTACGATCCATCCTGGGTTTAACCAGGCTGGATTGTGTGAGGAGCTCACAAATCCTTGAAAGATCTGGGCAAGGTCCCATCGGTGAGCTCCTCCGGCAGGCGAGGCTGCGTTGGCTGGGTCATGTAGCCCGCATGCCCAGCCACCGCATGCCGAAACAGCTTTTGTTCGGCCGGAGTGAGGGGGCTAAACGGGCGCGGCACGGGCTAGAGAAGAGATGGAGTGACGTGGTACAGCAGGACGTGGAGCTGAGTGGACTTGCCGATGACTGGTACCAGCGGTGTCAAGATCGGCCTCTGTGGAGGAGGCTCGTGAAGGACGCTGCTACTGGGCAGTTGGAGGCAGTCGCCCTCCAACAACAACGGAGGGCGGAGGAGCGACGCTCACAACAACGAGCGGAGTGCCGGGTGGCTAAAGCACAGCAGGTTGGCACAGGAGGGGGCACAGGTGGTGCATCAGCCATTCATCTCGGTCATCTCAGTCAGTCGACCCGTGGCACCTGGGTCTGCCCCGTGACCTCCTGCCAGCGGGCGTTCGACACTTCACGTGGCCTCAGGGTGCACATAGCCTGGCACAAGCGTCGTGGTGACGTCACCACCACTTAGTGGCGAATGGCGGTTGTTGTTGTTGTGTCTGTGTGTGTTAGTGTGTGTGTTAGTGTGTGTGTCTGTGTGTGTGTGTCTGTGTGTGTGTGTCTGTGTGTGTGTATCTGTGTGCGTGTCTGTGTGTGTGTGTCTGTCTGTGTGTGTAACTGTGTCTGTCTGTGTGTGTGTGTGTCTGTGTGTGTGTGTCTGTGTCTGTGTGTAACTGTCTGTGTGTGTCTATCTGTGTGTGTGTCTATCTGTGTGTGTCTGTGTGTGTGTCTCACTCCCGCCCCCCCAACTCACCACCGGTTCCAGGCCTTGCACACCCGCAGGCAGCGAGCGAGGTCTCCCGCGGGCAGCAGCAGGAACACTTTGAGCCACTGCTCCCGCCTCAGGGGGTGGACAGCCCCGCCCCCTCCCCCAGCCCCGCCCCCTCCCCCAGCCCCGCCCCCTCCCCCAGCCCCGCCCCCCGCGCACAGGGCGACGGTGTCCGGCGGGGGGCCGAGTCCGGCCGGCCTCACCACGTGCAGGAGCGGGGGGCACGGGCCACAGGGCACCTTGCTGGGGTCCGGCAAGCCCACGGCACCACCGGCACCACCACCGGCACCACCGGCACCGCCACCGGCACCACCACCGGCACCACCACCGGGACCACCGCCGCCGGCTCTTCCTGTTGCTCGCGGCTGCTTCTGCGGCGTCTGCGGTGGTTGTGGTGGTGACGGTGGTGGTTGATGTGGGGGTTGTGGTAGTTGTGGTTGATGCGGTGGTGGTTGATGTGGTTGATGTGGGGTTGTGGTGGTGGTTGTTGTTGTGGTGGTGGTTGATGCGGTGGTGGTTGATGAGGTGGTGGTTGATGCGGGGGTTGTGGTGGTGGTTGTTGTGGTGGTGATTGTTGTGGTGGTGATTGGTGTGGTGGTGATTGATGTGGTGGTGATTGTTGTGGTGATTGATGTGGGGGTTGTGGTGGTTGTTGTTGATGTGATGGTGATTGTTGTGGTGGTTGTGGTGGTGGTTGTGGTGGTTGATGCGGTGATTGTTGTGGTGGTGATTGTTGTGGTGGTGATTGTTGTGGTGGTGATTGTTGTGGTGGTGATTGTTGTGGTGGTGATTGTTGTGGTGGTGATTGTTGTGGTGGTGATTGTTGTGGTGGTGATTGTTGTGGTGGTGATTGTTGTGGTGGTGATTGTTGTGGTGGTGATTGTTGTGGTGGTGATTGTTGTGGTGGTGATTGTTGTGGTGGTGATTGTTGTGGTGGTGATTGTTGTGGTGGTGATTGTTGTGGTGGTGATTGTTGTGGTGGTGATTGTTGTGGTGGTGATTGTTGTGGTGGTGATTGTTGTGGTGGTGATTGTTGTGGTGGTGATTGTTGTGGTGGTGATTGTTGTGGTGGTGGTTGTTGTGGTGGTGGTTGTTGTGGTGGTGGTTGTTGTGGTGGTTGTTGTGGTGGTGATTGTTGTGGTGGTGATTGTTGTGGTGGTGATTGTTGTGGTGGTGATTGTTGTGGTGGTGATGATTGTTGTGGTGGTGATGATTGTTGTGGTGGTGATGATTGTTGTGGTGGTGGTTGTTGTGGTGGTGATTGTTGTGGTGGTGATTGTTGTGGTGGTGATTGTTGTGGTGGTGATTGATGTGGTGGTGATTGTTGTGGTGGTGATTGATGTGGTGGTGATTGTTGTGGTGGTGATTGATGTGGTGGTGATTGTTGTGGTGGTGATTGTTGTGGTGGTGATTGATGTGGTGGTGATTGTTGTGGTGGTGATTGATGTGGTGGTGATTGTTGTGGTGGTGATTGTGGTGGTGATGATTGTTGTGGTGGTGATTGTTGTGGTGGTGATTGTGGTGGTGATGATTGTTGTGGTGGTGATTGTTGTGGTGGTGATTGTTGTGGTGGTGATTGTTGTGGTGGTGGTTGTTGTGGTGGTGATTGTTGTGGTGGTGATTGTTGTGGTGGTGATTGTTGTGGTGAGAGGTTACACACAGCACGCTGCTTCCCTCTCAGCCAGCACCCACAGCCCCTCCCCTCCCCACTAGCCCCTCCCCCCCCTCCCCGTGACGTGGGCTCCGGCCCCTCCCCTCCCCCTCAGCCCCTCCCCTCCCCCACAGCCCCTCCCCCCCAGCCCCTCCCCTCCCCCTCCCCTCCCCCTCAGCCCCTCCCCCACAGCCCCTCCCCCCCAGCCCCTCCCCCCCCACTCACCGTGACGTGGGCTCCGGCCCCTCCCCTCCGCGTGGGGTTGAGCGCCGGTGGGGGAGGCCTCAAGACGCAGGGGGCCCTCCGCTGGGCCCCCACCCTCGCACCCCCCCGCGGCCCCCACCCCCACGGCCCCCGCCTGGCCCCCACCTCGGCGGCGGGGGCGGCGGCCCCCACCCCCGGCCCCCACCGCCGAGGGGGGAAGGCCGGCCCCTCCCCCTCCTCTCCTGCGGGGGGGGTTGGGCCCAACGCCCCCTCCCCCCGCGCCCCCACCACCACCACGGTGGGGGGGGCGGGGGGAGGATGAGGGGAGGGGCGAAGGGGGGGAGTCCGGGGGGAAGCCGGCGTAGCGCTGTGGGGAGGGGTGGGGGTGGGGGGTGGTGGGGGGAGGGGTGGTGGGGGGGGGAATGGTGGGGGGAATGGTGGGGGGGTGAGAGGGTGGGGTAACACGTGGGTAGTCAGTCACGTGATCGAGAATGACACTGGCACAGCTGAGCCGTCTGTGTTGGTGGGTGGGTTGGTGGGTGGGTTGGTGGGTGGGTTGGTGGGTGGGTTGGTGGGTGATTTGGTGGGTGGGTTGGTGGGTGATTTGGTGGGTGGGTTGGTGGTGGGTTGGTGGGTGGGTTGGTGAGTGGGTTGGTGGTGGGTTGGTGGGTGGGTTGGTAGGTGGTTTAGTGGGTGAGTAGGTGGTTTAGTGGGTGGGTTGGTGGGTTGGTTGGTGGGTTGGTTGGTGGGTTGGTGGGTGGGTTGGTTGGTGGGTGGGTTGGTTGGTGGGTTGGTGGGTGGGTTGGTGGGTGGGTTGGTGGGTGGGTTGGTGGGTGGGTTGGTTGGTGGGTGGGTTGGTGGGTTGGTGGGTTGGTTGGTGGGTGGGTTGGTGGGTGATTTGGTGGGTGGGTTGGTGGGTGATTTGGTGGGTGGGTTGGTGGGTGATTTGGTGGGTGGGTTGATGGTGGGTTGGTGGGTGGGTGGGTTGGTGAGTGGGTTGGTGGTGGGTTGGTGGGTGGGTTGGTAGGTGGTTTAGTGGGTGAGTAGGTGGTTTAGTGGGTGGGTTGGTGGGTTGGTTGGTGGGTTGGTTGGTGGGTTGGTGGGTGGGTTGGTTGGTGGGTGGGTTGGTGGGTGGGTTGGTTGGTGGGTGGGTTGGTGGGTTGGTGGGTGGGTTGGTGGGTGGGTTGGTGGGTTGGTGGGTGATTTGGTGGGTGGGTTGGTGGGTGATTTGGTGGGTGGGTTGGTGGTGGGTTGGTGGGTGGGTTGGTGGTGGGTTGGTGGGTGGGTTGGTGGGTGGGTTGGTGGGTGGGTTGGTGGGTGGGTTGGTGGGTGGGTGGGTTGGTTGGTGGGTGGGTGGGTTGGTGGGTGGGTTGGTTGGTGGGTTGGTGGGTGGGTTGGTGGGTGATTTGGTGGGTGGGTTGGTGGGTGATTTGGTGGGTGGGTTGGTGGTGGGTTGGTGGGTGGGTTGGTGAGTGGGTTGGTGGTGGGTTGGTGGGTGGGTTGGTAGGTGGTTTAGTGGGTGAGTAGGTGGTTTAGTGGGTGGGTTGGTGGGTTGGTTGGTGGATTGGTTGGTGGGTTGGTGGGTGGGTTGGTTGGTGGCTTGGTGGGTTGGTTGGTGGGTTGGTGGGTGGGTTGGTGGGTTGGTGGGTGGGTTGGTGGGTGGGTTGGTTGGTGGGTTGGTGGGTGGGTTGGTTGGTGGGTTGGTGGGTGGGTTGGTTGGGGGTTGGTGGGTGGGTTGGTGGGTGGGTTGGTGGGTGGGTTGGTTGGTGGGTTGGTGGGTGGGTTGGTGGGTGGGTTGGTTGGTGGGTGGGTTGGTTGGTTGGTGGGTGGGTTAGTGGGTGGGTTGGTTGGTGGGTTGGTGGGTGGGTTGGTGGGTGGTTGGTTGGTGGGTTGGTGGGTTGGTTGGTGGGTTGGTGGGTGGGTTGGTGGGTGGGTTGGTAGGGGGTTTGGTGGGTGGGTTGGTGGGTGGGTTGGTAGGGGGTTTGGTGGGTGGGTTGGTGGGTTGGTGTGGTTGGTGGGTGGGTTGGTTGGTGGGTTGGTGGGTGGGTTGTTGGGTGGGTTGGTGGGTGGGTTGGTTGGTGGGTGGGTTGGTGGTTGGTGGGTGGGTTGGTGGGTGGGTTGGTGGGTTGGTGGGTGGGTTGGTGGGTTGGTGGGTTGGTTGGTGGGTTGGTGGGTGGGTTGCTAGTGGGTTTGGTGGGTGGGTTGGTGGGTGGGTTGGTGGGTGGGTTGGTGTGGTTGGTGGGTGGGTTGGTTGGTGGGTGGGTTGGTGGGTGGGTTGGTGGGTGGGTTGGTTGGTGGGTTGGTGGGTGGGTTGGTTGGTGGGTTGGTGGGTGGGTTGGTTGGTGGGTTGGTGGGTGGGTTGGTGGGTGGGTTGGTTGGTGGGTTGGTGGGTGGGTTGGTGGGTGGGTTGGTTGGTGGGTTGGTTGGTGGGTGGGTTGGTGGGTTAGTGGGTGGGTTGGTTGGTGGGTTGGTGGGTGGGTTGGTGGGTGGGTTGGTTGGTGGGTTGGTGGGTTGGTTGGTGGGTTGGTGGGTGGGTTGGTGGGTGGGTTGGTAGAAGGTTTGGTGGGTGGGTTGGTGGGTGGGTTGGTAGGGGGTTTGGTGGGTGGGTTGGTGGGTGGGTTGGTGTGGTTGGTGGGTGGGTTGGTTGGTGGGTTGGTGGGTGGGTTGTTGGGTGGGTTGGTGGGTGGGTTGGTTGGTGGGTTAGTTGGTGGGTTGGTGGGTGGGTTGGTGGGTGGGTTGGTGGGTGGGTTGGTGGGTTGGTGGGTGGGTTGGTGGGTTGGTGGGTTGGTTGGTGGGTGGGTTGCTAGGGGGTTTGGTGGGTGGGTTGGTGGGTGGGTTGGTAGGGGGTTTGGTGGGTGGGTTGGTGGGTGGGTTGGTGTGGTTGGTGGGTTGGTGGGTGGGTTGGTTGGTGGGTGGGTTGGTGGGTGGGTTGGTTGGTGGGTTGGTGGGTGGGTTGGTGGGTGGGTTGGTGGGTGGGTTGGTTGGTGGGTTGGTTGGTGGGTGGGTTGGTGGGTGGGTTGGTTGGTGGGTTGGTGGGTGGGTTGGTGGGTGGGTTGGTTGGTGGGTGGGTTGGTTGGTGGGTTGGTGGGTGGGTTAGTGGGTGGGTGGGTTGGTGGGTTAATGGGTGGGTGGATAGGTTGGTGGGTGGGTTGGTTGGTGGGTTGGTTGGTAGGTGGGTTGGTGGGTGAGTTGCTGGGTGGGTTAGTTAGTGGGTGGGAAGGTTGGTTGGTGGATTGGTGGGTGAATGGGTTGGTGGGTGGGTTGGTTGGTGGGTGGGTTGGTTGGTGGGCTGGTGGGTGGGTTGGTGGGTTGGTAGGTGGGTTGGTGGGTGGGTTGCTGGGTGGGTTGGTGGGTGGGTTGGTGGGTTAGTGGGTGGGTTGGTGGGTGGGTTACTGGGTGGGTTGGTGGCTTGGTGAGTGGGTTGGTTGGTGAGTGGGTTGGTGGTGGGTTGGTGGGTGGGTTGGTGGGTGGGTTGCTGGGTGGGTTGGTTGGTGGGTTAGTGGTTGGGTGGGTTGGTGGGTGGATGGGTTGGTGGGTGGGTTGGTTGGTGGGTTGGTGGGTGGGTTGCTGGGTGGGTTGGTGGGTGGGTTGGTTGGTGGGTTGGTGGGTGGGTGGGTTGGTGGGTTGGTGGGTGGGTTGGTGGGTGGGTTGGTTGGTGGGTTGGTGGGTGGGTTGGTTGGTGGGTTGGTTGGTGGGTTAGTGGGTGGGTTGGTGGGTGGGTTGGTGGGTGGGTTGGTTGGTGGGTTGGTTGGTGGGTTGGTTGGTGGGTTGGTGGGTGGGTTGGTGGGTTGGTAGGGGGTTTGGTGGGTGGGTTGGTGGGTGGGTTGGTGGGTGGGTTGGTAGGGGGTTTGTTGGGTGGGTTGGTGGGTTGGTGTGGTTGGTGGGTTGGTGGGTGGGTTGGTTGGTGGGTTGGTGGGTGGGTTGGTGGGTGGGTTGGTGGGTGGGTTGGTGGGTGGGTTGGTTGGTGGGTTGGTTGGTGGGTTGGTGGGTGGGTTGGTGGGTGGGTTGGTGGGTGGGTTGGTAGGGGGTTTGGTGGGTGGGTTGGTGGGTTGGTGTGGTTGGTGGGTTGGTGGGTGGGTTGGTGGGTGGGTTGGTGGGTGGGTTGGTGGGTGGGTTGGTTGGTGGGTGGGTGGGTTGGTGGGTGGGTTGGTGGGTGGGTTGGTTGGTGGGTTGGTGGGTGGGTTGGTGGGTTGGTGGGTGGGTGGGTGGGTTGGTGGGTGGGTTGGTGGGTGTGTTGGTGGTGGGTGGGTTGGTGGGTGGGTTGGTGGGTGGGTTGGTGGGTGGGTTGGTGAGTGGGTTGGTGGTGGGTTGGTGGGTTGGTACGTGGTTTAGTGGGTGGGTAGGTGGTTTAGTGGGTGGGTTGGTTGGTGGGTTGGTGGGTGGGTTGGTGGGTGGGTTGGTGGGTGGGTTGGTGGGTGGGTTGGTGGGTTGGTTGGTGGGTTGGTGGGTGGGTTGGTGGGTGGGTGGGTTGGTGGGTTGGTGGGTTGGTGGGTGGGTTGGTGGGTGTGTTGGTGGGTGTGTTGGTGGTGGGTTGGTGGGTGGGTTGGTGGGTGGGTTGGTGGGTGGGTTGGTGGGTGGGTTGGTGAGTGGGTTGGTGGGTGGGTTGGTAGGTGGTTTAGTGGGTGGGCAGGTGGTTTAGTGGGTGGGTTGGTGGGTTGGTTGATGGGTTCGTGGGTGGGTTGGTTGGTGGGTTGGTGGGTGGGTTGGTGGGTGGGTTGGTGGGTGGGTTGGTGGGTGGGTTGGTGGGTGGGTTGGTGAGTGGGTTGGTGGTGGGTTGGTGGGTGGGTTGGTACGTGGTTTAGTGGGTGGGTAGGTGGTTTAGTGGGTGGGTTGGTTGGTGGGTTGGTGGGTGGGTTGGTGGGTGGGTTGGTGGGTGGGTTGGTGGGTGGGTTGGTGGGTTGGTTGGTGGGTTGGTGGGTGGGTTGGTGGGTGGGTGGGTTGGTGGGTTGGTGGGTTGGTGGGTGGGTTGGTGGGTGTGTTGGTGGGTGTGTTGGTGGTGGGTTGGTGGGTGGGTTGGTGGGTGGGTTGGTGGGTGGGTGGGTTGGTGGGTTGGTGGGTGGGTTGGTGGGTGGGTTGGTGGGTTGGTGGGTGGGTTGGTGGGTTGGTGGGTTGGTTGGTGGGTTGGTGGGTGGGGTGCTAGTGGGTTTGGTGGGTGGGTTGGTGGGTGGGTTGGTGGGTGGGGTGGTGTGGTTGGTGGGTGGGTTGGTTGGTGGGTGGGTGGGTGGGTGGGTTGGTGGGTGGG